TCAGGGGCACAAGTGTTAAAGCCCCACACTCTGAAGCTGTCACAACCACTGCAGCCTGCGTTTGACCTCTGGCCAAGGGGTGGCCCCCAGTGCACAGCAGACCTCTCCTGTCTCCCTGCTGCTCCCCTCAGCAGTGGACTTCCTCGATCTGCCTGTCCTGCTCCCCGCTCTGTCTCTGGTGAATACTTCTATCCTTACACCTCTGTCCTGCTCCCCAGGTCTTGTATGCATACATAAATAATAAAAAGTAATAAAATTCTATCCACACACTGCAGAACAGTGACTTATGTAAATGTTAAATAAATTGATATGTATAGCTAGATGATATTAATAGTAATTGGGCAAATGGCATGAACAGATTATTTAAAAATATTAAAAATGTTTAGAAAGGTAAAGTGTTCAATCTCTCTCATTATTTTAAAATTCCACTTGATGCTGCATTTCATCTTCAGCTTATCAACTTGGCAGAGGATTTAAAACGTGACTGTGAAGAGCTGTAGGAAGTCGGGGCTCAAGCCCTGGGCTGGGTGGATGTGCCGTGATAGCCCTTTAGGAGAGGAAGTAATCCGACCACGTGAAGCAAATAGTATTTGGCCCAGTAACTCAATTTGGGGAGACGTACGCACAGAACAGAATGTTTTGTATTAAAGCAAGGTTTTTGCTCAAAGTGTTACTGTAGAATTATTTGCAATAATACAATATAATAATAGTAATATTTGGAGGGGGAAACCTGTATGTTCTAACAACACAGGGAAATAGTTATCAAGGCAATATTCACCAAAAGTGAATGAGGAAACACATTTGTTATAATCCTAAATGAAAGCATAAGCAGTCAGGTGGTTTGTTTATTATGCAAAACAGACGTTACACAAAACAGAAATGCCTTTTCTTGTGCATAGGGGAGACTTTCCCTTCCTGATGCATCTGTGTATTTTCCAAATGTTCTGTGACACCTTAATAGTATTTGCTTTGCAAATAAAAATTAAGTAAATAAATGCTTTCCAGAGGTTTCTTCCATATTTTCTGAAGCCATGTTCTGTCCCTGTTTCTTTTTCAAAGTTCAGAGTGGAGGTCTGTGTCCTGGTTCGTCTTTCTGGGCTGTCAGTCTTGAGGCGGTGCATGGGGTGAGCCCCTCTGCCTTTCCTGTCCTGCAGCAGGTCCTCACTGCTGGAGCGCAGGAGAGGACTCCGCTCTGGGTCCTGGCTGCCCCTGGGAGTCCGCAGCGCTGGCCTGCAGCGCCTGGCAGTGCCAGCTGGAGTGTGGCCTCCCTTCTGCCTCCTGCTAGAGGGAGCCCGAAGCCACAGGGCCTGCACCCCTGCTCCTCTGTGAGGGCCTGCTGGGCGGAGGGGCGGAGTTGTGACCCCAGAGGTCCCATGCCTGGCTTCAGGGTGGGCTTCGAGCCAGGAACTTGAGGCGTAAGAGGTGCAGTCATTGGCAGAGCGGACTGGCGGCCCTGTGGGTGTGGGGCCCCACCCACCTGGGGAGGAGTTGGCTGGGAGCTGGCTTGAGGCAGGGGTCTAGCAAAGAGCTGGGCACCCACTGGGTCCGCCCACCCCGCTCCACCGAGACCATGTCTGGCCTGCAGGGTGGGGGTGGGGGATCAGCTTCCCTGCCTGCAGTGCAGGGCTTCGGGGCAGAGCTGAGGCCTCTGGTGCTGCGGGGTCGCCTGGCTCAGCGAGGAGCAGACCCCCAGAGGAGAGGGGTCTGCTCCATCCACTCCAGAGAACCTGCCACCACCCCGCTATCTTTCGGACCCGCATTAAGGCTGTGGTCTCCCCAGATCCAAACACAGGATGAATAAGAGAGGGAGGCTGAAGGGAGGCGAAGGACTCTCGCACTGGCAGAACACCCAGAAGGCCCCAGGGCCCCAGGCCTGAACGGAACCAAGACTTCCTGTGGGCTGGGAGCACCCGCGCCGAGCTATTTTGGGGGTCTGTGGTGAGACCGGCCTCAAAAACACACTGGTAGGTGACCCCGCCTCGAGTCTTGCTGGCCCTGGCCTCGAGTCGAGGCACCACCTTCTGGACTGCAGGCGTTTGACAAACAGCATAGAAGTTTCCAGCGCAATACTTAACTCTATGGGCAGTGGCTTGGAAATGCCCTGCAACGCGGTGGGTGGGCCCCGAGCTCACAGAACTGGCCAGCGGCCCCTTGCCTGTGCTTCAGCCAGGTGAGCTGGGCTGCAGGACAGGGAGAGAGGAAGGTCCGGGCAGGATGACCGTGGCCAGGAGCCAGGAGCAGGTGCCGGAGCTGAGGATCTGGCAAGGGTTCTCTAGCAACCCCGCAGGAGGGCCAGGTCAGTTTGCAAATCCCGAAGCCCCGCGATTCCTGCTCCTCTATCCTCGGGACCCAGGCCCTGCTCCAGCCTCCGAGGGCCCTGCAGAGGAGCCTCAGCTCCCGTGAGCCCTGCCAGGGCCACCAGCTCTCCTCACTGCACAAGTCTGCCCCCGCACAAGGCTCGGGCTGCCGCGCAGTCCAGCCCAGTTGTCCACTCCAGAGCACCCCGCCCCCACCCCAAGTCCTGTTCTCACTTGAGAACTGAGTGCTCCCAGGACGGACATGACGTCTGCATCTTCTGGGTCTGAGCAGGCTGCCCCTGGGCTACCAGGCCGGGCCCTGGGGGCCAGCAGTGTCTCTGGTGACAGAGGGGACAGAGGTCCGGGCACAGAGGGGCTTCCAAGGGGCTGTTCAGAGAGGCACTTGCTTAGGTCTTGCAAAGGGGGAGGAAACAGAGAGGCACGTCCCCAAGAAGGGTGATAGGACCCCATTTAAATGGTGGGGTCAGCCAGTCCAGCAGTTAAGAATGGCGCGTCCTGGGCATTCCCCTCTGCCCCCCAGACCCTGGCGCTCCCCACCAAGGCCCTGGGGAGTTCCCACCCACAGCAGGGAGCCTCGCAGTTCAGTCTCAGGGTCCCCTTGGGCCTTGACAGCCTTTGGAAGACCACCATGAGCTGTGGCTTGTGGTGGCTATTACCTGAAGAACTGTGTAACTTCATGTATCAGTCATTAGAAAGCAACTGTGAACCCTTCCAAGTCAGCATAAACCTGACAGGCACTTTATTATACAAAGTAGTGAAAAGAGCAACATTATTTGTATTTTTTGCAAAGTTCTGTCATATCTACTTAGGGGAAGACAGCTGGATTCGGGATCACAGATCAGGGAAGGTCGGGAGCCGGGGGAGTTGACGTGAGGGCCACACGCCCTGGACGCAACGGGGGGACACAACTCAGCCCTCTCACCTCTGTCCAGCAGGTCACAGAAGGGCCACCCCCCGAGCAGCGGGCGGCGCGGGGGCCCTGGAAGTAAGCACCCAGGGGGCTTGTTTTGGAGGGCACCGTCCTCATGCAATGGGCGAGGTTCCTAAACTGGAGCGCTTTCTCTAACAGGGACCAGGGAAGCGCAAATCAGGTCTATCACAATTCGGTAAATCGTGGGTCCTAAAGCCTAAGACTGAGGCCGTGGGAAAGAAAGTAAAAGGATCCTCAGGCTTCTTCGGCCTAGAAGCCGAGGTGGAGGCCGAGTGGACACTGCACTGGCCCCAGCCTGCTGTCCGCCAGGGGATAAGCACGTGTGCCTGAAGGCGCTGCTTCCAGTCTGAAACATGAGCCTCCCAACAGTGACCAGCGTGTGTGTGGTGGCTGTGGTCTGTGAGGGAGGGAGGCAGTAGGGGCTCGGCGGGGCGCGTCCTTCCCTTGGGGTCTGCGGGGTGAGCGCCCTATGAAGCCCGCTCCCGCCCGCGCCCAGGCAGCCGC